AACAAGAGAAGGAATATCACAAATGCAAGAAACTAACTAGTAAACTAATAGTCTAATAGAGAACGATCTAGAATTTGGGTTATTCTCGACGACGTCCCATGCAAGTGCTAATGTACAAATAATTCTTGTACACTGAATAATGGAAGTAGTATCACGACTTCGAGGAATGAAAATTTCTCGAGGAGTGCAAGTGAAAAAGAGATGACGATCAATCACCAAAAGACAAAAAGGATAAAGTTCTCAGCGATGATCAATACCTGAGGGATGTGCCATGCATTCAACTTCACTAAGCAACGTTGGAAGTGATTGAATGCCTATCAGGTCTTTACAATGACTCACGGTGGCCTACCGATGTATTGAGCCAGTGCTTCTATCCTCCCAGAGAAGTCTGGTACCAGTTTGCCGATTCCGGTAGGATGGAAGTCTCAGTGGGCCTTGGGCACTGGGATCGATTCCACGTGTGTTTCACGGTGGCGCCTCCAACTACTACGCTACACGCGCCATTCATTCAGCAAAAAAAAGTGTAAACAAGAGTGGGCTATGAATAAGAATAAATCGAAAAAGACTCAGTTCATTAAAAAAAACCATGGTGAGAAGGTAAACAAATTGAGCTGACAAGCTCTCTGATTACAAACACTACCTCGTATTTGTATCTTGATTGCTAAGCGAATAAGAAGGACAACACGGAGAAATTAAGCAAAAGCAGGAGAGAAGCAAAAGGCCATATTTGGTATTTTGAAGGAAGCTTCAGCTAACTGATGCGAAACTGCGCTCACCTTTTCGATTGAATGCTTCTTCCAGCGCTATATTAAGCGGTGAAGAAGCCAAGCCAGACATGCTTCATGTGTGATATGGTTGCTTCGGGCCGCACACAACGCGCCCGAAGGATGCTTTCTGAAATGGTGATGACGCTCGAATTTTGTGTTCTTGAGAGGAAAACAGTATCGGTTCTTACCTAGCATTAACCTTGACTGAATCTGCGTTGATATTTCCTCAGCCTCTAATTTGTTTTGGATAGCAAAGCATCGCGCATGTAAGATGCATGCGCAATTGATCCTGAAACTGTTTTCCCAATGAGCAATTATCAAGAAAGCTGGGTAGTAACGGAAAATCAAATCAAATTTCTAAGTTCCCAAAACAGCAGTGAAGCACTTAGTTTAATCGAAAATTCCTGAATAGCCAAAGTTTCTTGGGAGTTTGTAGATGCGTATTCAGAAGCTCGCATTTCGCCTTTGATTCAATCCAACATCAAACGCTAACCAACGCCTCTCATCATTCCGAGATCAGGAAACCGCTACCAGTGTCGACCTTGTTTGGGACGATAAAAACACTGCTTTTACAAATCGATAGACGCTCGCAAGCAACTCGATGAAACAAACATGACAACTCTCAGGCATTTTTTCCTTCGTAACCGCAACTGTTGTTTTTATCTCTCCCTACCATTCTAGATCCTTCCTCAAAGATCTTCAACAATAGAAAATGGTATTTGCCTGGAACATCCTTAAGCAAACACTTTGTATAGTTCATGAATCGCTTGAAAATTTGAATAACCTGCTAAATGTTTTCGATGGAGGAGAAGAGATGCTGATCAAGGTAATAATTATTCCATCACATTTTATTTTCCTTGGAAAACAGCACATCAGAATGGAAAATAAAGATGTTTTCGAAAGGTACTGCTAAGACTTTGAGCAGGTATAAAATTTTTTACTTAAATCTGCTTAATACCACAAGTATGTGTGGATGACTACGGCTGTCAGCAGATGAAACACTTCCTGTTGTAATCACAATCTTAACCTTTTTATTTACTGCCTACTCCTTTTAACATTGATCTGGGAAAAGGCAAAAGATCGATAGAACTAGCTGAGAGACAGGCTAAACGAAGGACCCGCATGGTGTGGTAGTGAACGCGTTACTCCCCGGAAATGACAATAGCGCGTTCGTTGTCCACCGCAGACACCTGCGGTCCGGAGTTTTACAAATATCTCAGCATTTCAATAGTTACACCACTTCCTGTTGTCTTAAAGCGAAAAGTGATTTGCAGATGAATACAAACACATTACTACTTTCATAACCAGAACTCCCTTTTCCAAGAGTGTTTTCCACCGCCCAAACGCTGCGACCAAGCTGGGGAGTTAAAATATGAAGGAGAGCTGGATGTTCTATCTCCCTATTCAGAAGCGCTCATTTCCTGAAGGTGATATTCGAGTAGTATTCCCTAGTTTTGATGCCTGCGCATCACTGCGAATGCTGAATTATTCGTATATACAATTGCATATATCAAACCTAAACCGTTAAGTCTAATAAGTGTGGGAATATTTACGTCTCAAGCACAGTGGAAGTGATGCCAGACATCATCAGCACGATCCTGGATCGATGCCACTACACGCTCAAAATGGATCTCATCACTCAAGCGTCGGGAAATCTATACCGGACTTGTCCGAAAAAAAAAACCACTGTCTGTAATCCAGCTGGGAACGCTCAGGCACACGTATCGCGGAGCATTTTTAAGCACCAATTGAAGCTAAACGTAGGAGTTGGAAGACCCTAGAGAATGACGGATGCGAAGAAAACTGGTAGCGCAAAGAAAATTTACGTCTTACAAAGCATAAATATTTTAAAGATGAAACAATCTTCATCTTCTTGAATGTTCATTACGGTTCTAGTTCTATTTAGTCCATGCATACGAATGGTTAGTTAAGTCAGAGCCTTTCGACAAGAAAGAAATGAAACATTTAGCAGCAGTTGCAAAGAAACAAGAAATCTCTACTCTGATCCCTATATGCTGCATAGCCATTGTCACAAATCCACTTTTTCTTCCATGAATTTTCCAGCATGTTCAGCATAAGACCAATGATCAAATTTATAAACAGTAGCTCTGCTATCCTCTCGTTAGAATTGCGACAAATATCACACAATTTACGCTGAGGTTGTCGTCGACGTCAAAGTTAGATAACTCATGCAGACCTGTTAACATTTCGTTACTGCTCCGAAAATCCTACGCATTCTTTGCACAAAAGATGTCCTCCGAACAACCCTGACTTTAGCAGGACGATGGCGATGTGTTCGCCTATTGATGAAAAGCAGCGCTCAAGACGTTTTCCACGGAACACAAAAACTCTACTAGTTATGGATTAGCTCGTTAAAGTAGTACTCGAAAACTAACTAACGAAATCGTTAGTTGAAGAACTGTTTTAAGAAGTACGCACAATATGAAATAGTGACTAACCGTAAGCTAAGGAGAAAAGCCGGAACGTCCAGCTCCGTGACAGATTCCTGTATTGATTGAATAATGCAGAGTGACGCTGCTAGAGGATATGGAGCAAATCGCCGCATTAGAGCGTCGCTGCTTCATTTGGCAGAACGTCGCGGCTTTTCACGTTTTAACTAATTCAATGTGGCCGATCTCTTGATAAGTTTTGCCTTCACGGCAATTTTAACCGCTTATGACGATGAGATGTTACTCAAACATTATTTTGCAGTGTAAATTAAGCTCTTCTAGCCTAGCAAACACATTATCCATGCAATAATCGTGGTTGGTTTTGTGACAGCATGCCCACTATGGAGGCTATGCTCTACCTGAAGAAAATACTCTCTATCTCTTTAGGATATCAACCTTTATTGGCTTCAATATGCTACAGAATCACGTTATTCGCTCTTTTTCCAGAGAACGTTTTTTGACGAGTAAATTAAATTCGGATTACTCCACAGTTCATTAGAAAAATGACATTTTATTACACAAGAAGGCCAAATGAACAGGTCTAATCCACTCGGTGTCAGGAATTGACTTGAAAAGAATGAGTATTCAAGCAGTTATCGAGAACTTCTTGTCATGCGCTTCACCTGGATATTCGAGCTGCAGATTGACACGACCGAAATCGTAGACCTAAAAATGCGCTACACATTTCATTTGTTCGTAATAGAAACCAACATAAAATCTAAAGACTATAGATGTTTTCGGAAATTCGCAATGCAAGCAAGTTCTCAGTGAAATGGTGGCTTTACTGTGATAAGCTTTTATTTTCTTCCTACTATAATTTTTGACGACAGGGCATCCTGTGAATTACAACGACAGCGACGCTACGATTTTCGCAAAACTGTGACCACGGGTCAGATCGAACCACAATTTTCTTTCCGGAGGCTCGTGCATTACACACTGCGCCACGAAGTCCCTTGCTCTGCGTCTCTCTCAGCCAGTTTTGGGCGACAGCTTCCAGAGGGGGAAATCGTGGTTAGATCTAACCCGTGGTCCAAGTTTTGCGATTATCTCAACAATGTGATTGAGACTTTACGATCTTCAGAAAAGCATCATATGTTAATTTGGAAGCAGTTGGGCAGCATTTTCTTGGATTTTAAGCTGTGCGTTATTTCTATTTGTCTTTACTCGTTAGGCTTTGGAAATGTCGTTCTTAAATACGCTTGAGAACAAATACGATTGCATTCTTTGAGTTTTGTTTTTAATTCAGTTTAGGTGCATTTAGAGAGAAAAACCGTTAACTGTACCCGCTTCCGGATTAATACATAATAACTGGACTGCTAAAACTTGGTCAGAGGCCTAGTTTGCGAGATTTCACGATTTTCGTGTCGAAACTGAAAGCTTCTCAGACTGAAACTTTCTTCAATTTATTTCGCATGAAAACAAATTAGTTGTTTTCACAGTCCAGCAATCGCGAGGTTGTTAAACATCATACGTTTACTTCCATGCATTAACACACATACAACACAATCGTAGCTGGCGTTCCGGCAGTATCGCCGTCTTCGGAGCGGTTTTTACGTGCCATCCATTGAGCCATTATTATCTGAGTTTTCGTATTGAAAACACTGTTTTACCACATTGGTAGGAAACTACAGGACAATCTATAGGTGAATTACGTCACCAGCTATCTCCAGGTTGCTATGTATGGCATCGAATGCATAGTAGGGCACCCACTTGGATTAGTCGCTAATGTTCCACGTTTACACTGTTTTCCACTTTGTTCTGAGCAGCTTTATCCATAGAACTTCTACATCGACGTATTTCGAACATTACTAGGTGTCACCTTTCTAGCTCTTGTTCCTCTCGTTACGTAATCCTCAGGCAGTCGAAGTGCCCACCGCTTGTATCCGAGCTGTATTAAATATTAGGTAGAAACTAATTTTTGAGAATTTTATTATTGAAACTTTTCAAGGTGTTCTCACATTTGCTGTCTGTTTTTCATCCATTCCACAGTTATGATGAATCGTCATAAATGGCAGAATTTCGGTTTGAGTTAACGGAAATCTCGCCGTGCTTCCTTCCAGTTGAAATATTCCACTTTCATATGTAAATTTCTGGTCGAGTAGCTGGGAAAGGTCTGAAAAATTGCTTAAAATGCTTGTATATACTTCATAGGGAAAGGCCGAAAAACTAATGAAAGAAATATGAAAACCGATAATTTCATTACCGTCTGCTGCATCCTTTTGGTAGACGCGGAACAAGCGGACAGTGCTGCCCTTCATTCCTTTGTTGCCGCACAATAGTATCCCTTTGACAGCCATCGATCTAAACTCGATTAGTTTTTTTAAATACCAACTTTCAATAGATTTGAAAAATATCGCCTCGAAGTTTAAATCATATATTTGTGTCATTTCGTTCTATTTTCTACAATGCTTTTCTCGGATACAACGTTCGTTTCACTGCCTGTCGGCGAGAAATGAGGACGGCTCAGTTAGTTGTACGATTGCAGATACCTACCGATCCGGAACATTTTAAACAGACTAGTGTTCGAAGTCATTTTAGAAGCTTGAAGCCTCGTCCAGCTTCTGATGTAGACAATATTCGGCTGATCTTTGACCAGCTATTGAACACACCGACACGTTGTTCCTGCAGAGCGTATTATGCTATGCTTTCGAATGGGACGTATGCGCTGCCACTGGAGGATCCCACGTACCATGATTTTGTACTAAAAGGGTATCAGAGATAATACCAGATAATAGATATCAAATGTATCGGGTATCAGACCTTTGCAATATGATCAAATTACTGAGCTTGCTGCATAAAGCCTTTTCTCGAGTAATTGCTCCGCGCCATCGTGAGGCACTTGGATGAAACTGAACCCAAGGACAGAACTAGATTTTGCGTCCAGGCTTCGTTGATTGCAGCGAAATCGCCACGAAAGTGATCATCCCTCGTTTTTGCTATTTATCCTGTTGCTCGACAGCTTCGAACTCTCTGGCTTCATTAGGTAGTCTCAGATGAAGAAGAGAACCCATATATAACGTCACATTGTGCTATTCATATCAATTTGGGGTAACTATGATGGCAACTAGGGGCGCGTGTTGGGTAGTGGTTAGAGGTGGCTGCAATATACCCTGACTTGGTTACCAGTTCGATCTTGCGTATAGGACTCTCAAGCTTTTTCCATCCACCCGAGATGGACAAATTGGTGCGAGACTTCGTTAGGAGATATCAGCACTTGGTCCGCACATTGGTAGATCACTGCCAATCAATGTATGGCCCAGACTTGCATCAAATC